TGCACACACACTGAGCTGCTCCCAGTCCTCCATTAGGCTGCAGCAGCACTGCTCACCCAACTCCAACGGAACATTTATTGTCTTAATAAATAGAAACTTACTTAGTATGAATTGAGTAATCAATGATTGTAATTCCTGAAGATTATGTACTTGCTCACCCATTTCCCCTCAAACTGCTTCTCAGTCTTTTGTGAAAGACTACTTCCATCTGCCCTCAGGCAGTAAGAAATAAATAGTCATTAGTATGCTCAGAATGCAGTTATGGTACAAATACTGTCTAGACTTAAAAATCCATGAGTTCATTTGCTTCATACTGACTTGCTTTTGCTTACTGAAGTAATTTATATTGTTGGTTCTCCCTTCAGAGTTTTTGCTAACCATGGACGTGGCCATCCCAGTTTTGCATCATGATCAGAGAGCCTTCAAATTTCTCATGCAAGAGATACTTCACCTAATCAAAATCTATCATTTCAGCTTTTTTTGTGGGGAGGACTCTTAGTCTGATGCAATCTTATTTTAGAAAGGATTAGTCTGTCCTTTGGTACTGTTGCTGTATTACTGTAAATACAAAATGCTTAGCTTGACTATAGGGACCAGCTAGTGTTCAACATCAACAGATTAACTGCTTGGAGCATTTTTCTAGGACTAAAGCAGACGCTCACTAAGCCTTCCTTAGCGTGCAGACTGTGCAACTGCTTTCTCCAAAATAAGTGGATAGCATTGGTTTTTTTGTAGAGCAGAAATTAATATAGGGAAAACAATAACGTGAAGGAAATTATTATCACCTTTCACGTCAAAATAACATTGTGCCATCTCTTCAATGAGTGTGGATTTCTGTTAAAAATAAGTAAGAATATACAAACTAATCTTTTAATCAGTCACAGATTTAATGATGCATGATTAACAGAGTTTCATCCAGTACTTGTGCAGAAAGAATACTGATAGATCTACGTGCGTATATTAGTCTTCCACTGACATGAAAAATAGTCTGGACAATATATTAATATACATCACTTCCTCTTCACTTTAGTCATGTTAGTTCCATATGTTATAGTGATTCTGTGGGACAAGAAGTGAAGCTGAAACGCACATGTGTAACTTCTGGTGTTGGTTTTCTTTCTCTGTCTCATAAATCCTTTATTGCACAGTGGTTTGAGGTACACAAATTAAACATGCTGTATTTCTTTCCACCTTGGAGCTGTTGGTGCTCTCTGCAAGTCAGGCTCTTTATAGGGCTCAACTAGGGAAACCTTGCTGCCTTTTTGTCCTCCCTTTGGCTCTGAAGATGGACCATGTAAAGTTTGAGGGTTTATGTGGTTTTTTAGGCATGTGATGTGGGGAGAACACTGCAATTCCTCCAGGCTGTTTTCCCCACTACCTGCACATATTCTCAGAGACATATTAAGTGTTACATCCTGGTCTGTTTATTTTGATACGTTTATGAACCTGTTGCATAGGAATCCAAATAATCTTTTTCTAAACTCACACCATCTGTCTCCACTATTCTGTGTCAGACTTTCCTTTGACTTCTCAAACTTTACCATTTCTTAAATGCTGACCTTTTCACTGTGGATGGGAGTCTTCATTTACCTGTCAACTTGTGAGGGTGGTGAGGTTGGTTGTTCACTGATGTTTATTTGTTTCACTTTTGAAATGTGGCGAATATTTTACCTTTCCTACTAAAACAGGGAAATAAATGCCCAAGCATTCTCTAGGCTGCTTTCTTTTTTTGGGGGTTTGCTCCTCCCAGCGTGTCTGGGGGTTATGGACAGGTTTTTTTCTGGTTGTTGATGATGTTTTTTTTTTTTTTCCTTGTTTTTCCTTATCTTCTGTGTTCACCTCATTGTTCCTACCTTGAAATCAGATATTTGTGTATTGGATTTAGTTGGTTGCTCTCTCTTTCTGCATTATTAAATAATATTGGATTGGCTGCTAGAGAAAGGCTTTCCCAGTAATAGTCCTTGCACAGTATTTGTGTGCCATTGAAGACCAAATGCTACCTTTCGTGTAGATTATTTAGACTAGTTCTACTAAGATGCCTAATTTTCATGTGGAATGACAGGCAAATCAAAGTTAAACAAACCTTTTTCCTGTGAGCCCCAGCTTACAGTGGGACAGGCTGTTTAGTATGTGCATTTTGAAGTGATTTTAAAGGAATGGCTTTTGCTGCAAGTAGAATTTATGCTTTCATAAATTAAAACCTTGCAAGAGTTTTAAGAAATTTACATGATTTTCCCTGAAAGTAAAAGGAATTCATGTTGCCTCCTCTACACATTACTGAAGTAGTAAATCTCTAATAAAAGCGTTTATGGAAGGAAATGCAGATATTTTATTATAGTATATATATACATTTCCTGTTCTGTCATCTCGTTAAGTCTGTCTTGCAGAACAACAACTTCATAAATTGTGTGAACAGAAACTTGTATGTTTGCCTGGACTAGGCAAAAAAAAAAAGTGAACAAAATTGCATATTCTACTACTTTTTTGATAATTGATTGTGAATTTAAAAAGTTACTTATGGGAAGCACAGCTATAGGATGCAACCTTCTTGATTCGATAGAATTCCTTCAAACTTTCCCTATCAGCATGCATCTAATCTGGTGTTTTCTATACTTTATTTTATAGAACAGAGTTACTGAAAACTCTTCCTATCCATGTTAATCCCAAAGGTTAAGACTTCTTGTTTGTCATTGTATCCTGAATTTCATTGCACTTTTAAATTTTAGACAAAAATTAACTTCTATTTTTAAATTGCTGAAAACATTTAAACTTCACGTTATGTTGCCTATTTTCTTACCAGCTGCTGTTCTTTTTACGAACAAAATGACCATTTGCACTCTCCTAATTTACTTTGCACTACTGGTATTTCCTTCAGTGTTGCTTGTGTCCTCATCTAACTTGAGAAAAATATTACAGTAATTCAAGTTCTTAATTTCAAGCAAAAATGTGTGCTCCTTTCTGACCATAATATTACATGATTAAACGAATGCAACCACAACCTAAAATATTTGCTAATGTTTATTATTGAAACTGTTTTAGTGGTTGATTTCAAGGTTAACTCTCGAATGTGGAGTTAATAATTGCAAGGATGTGGGGGTCAGTATAGATTCCACCTTCCCCCTCTCCCCCCCCCACCCCCCAAGTTAAATTAAGCTTAAAAACTATTTGACTTTACAAGATGAATAGTCCCTTTGGTACCCAGTATAAAACTGATAAAATTGAAAATAAAATCGAGATAATGGCTGTGATAAAGGCAGCTGTATTGGTGCCTTATGGATTTGAATGTGCTCGTGAAATCGATGTTATGGCTGATGTGAGTCGTTACTTGCAAAGAACAGAGAATTGATTTTGTTCTGGGAACTGCTTCCTTATTTGCCAGATTTTTATTTCTTATATACTGTTTTTCAAGCCATCTTGACTCGAATTCCTCCTACTGCTGAATCTCACGTAGTCACAGCACTTTTTTTTTTTTTTTTTTTTTTTTTTTTTTTTTTTTTTTTTTTTTTTTTTTTTTTTTTTTTTTTTTTTTTTTTTTTAAATTACAAGAAAGCAGAAAAATCAACGGTTCTTTTGAAAATACTTGGTGGAACTTCTGGACAAATCACTTGCCATGAAAATATACTAAAAAGCAGAAAGCCCTTAAAAAAGGAAGTTATGTGCTGATCTTGACTGCCCCAGGAATACCTGGGTTAGCTGGATGCTTTGGCTCTGGAAGGCAGGTGCCTGCAGTCGATCGAAGCATTGACTGGGCCATTACTGAGGAGCAGGGAACGTGCTGGATGTTCTCACCTCTGGTGCCACACATCAAAAGTTGTTTGTGACACTGTCTTTGCAAGAATTGACCCGATTATATGCACTGCCACTGAAGATTGAGTAGTTTGTAGAGTACAAATTCTCTCTGAAGTAAAGGATACTTGAAGCATTGGATTTAGAGGACGGAGGTGAAAGGGTGCAAGTGTTGCAGTGCTCCTGGGGGAAAGGGCTGTTGGGATGGTCTGCTCGTGCTGGAAAGCACAAATTTGTAAGCTGTGCAGGAGGAGACAAGGCAAGACAGACTTGGGTTTTGAAATGCGTCTTTTAATTAAGAGGAAGCATTTGTCAAATTGCTCTTTATGATAGAACTAAGAATAAGTGAACCTCATGGATTACGGCACAAAACTCAATATTAGGCATTCAATTAATTTTAATATTACAATTTAATTGTAGTTAAATTACACCAGGAGCATCTCTGCAGAAACTCTGTCACTTTTGCTCCTGTTCTGGAATTCTTTGCGTGTGGTGTTGCTTTACCTTCAACATTGTGTTGTTGTGATTTCTCAGATGCTGTCTCAATTAGTGGTTGTTTATTACAAATTGCAGAAATAATGGCTTACATTAGAACAGCTTGTCACACAGTAAACAGGGTTTCTTTGAGTAGCCTCTTTGCTGCGCTCTGAGTCCAAAACTTCTGTTTGATTTCCAGGAGCTTTTATTATTCAGACCTACCTTTTCTATTAACACGGGGTTTCACAGCTCTGCGTTTTAAAAATCGGTTTAATTTCAATGTAAGAAAAATATTTAATATTTTTTCCTCCATGTCTATTCCTTAAATCATTCCTGTAACAGAAATAAGCATTAATAATAATTTAACCAAGTACATGCATTAATAAGGTAAAATCTTTTTGAACTCTAGTTAGTTTTTAATCTTTGAATTAGATTTAAAAGAATGAAATATTAGAATTTTTACCATACATTTAAATAGAAATTCAATAATTAGAACTAATGGTAGAATTAAATGGTGACATTTCAACGTTAAATATGATGATCTGGTATATTACAGTAGATAGTTTCACTTAGTTTTTATGAAGGGTAGGATTTTTATGAGCAGTAATTCAGAAAAATGTGGGTCTACTTAATGAAATCATTCTCTTTAAGACTATTTATACTGATGTTTTTTCCCCTTCTGATACCCTTTCTTGAATCTGCAAACTTTTTGCTCATTGTCTTTTTTTTTTTCCTAGTTTCAGCCCAGACTCTGAAGAGCAACCTTGATTCCATGAACCAGCAGATCCAGCGGCTAGAAAATGACATTAAGAATTTCCCTAAAACACAAGATGAAAATGATAAGTTTGTAGAGAAGATGAGCATATCCTTTTTGCGTGTCTTTATTGGTGAACTGAACATTTTGTTCATCTGTTTGAGTGTTTACAGCACTTGAAAATAGGTTTTAAGTGTCGTCTTTCATACCTTTATTCTAGAGCAGAGAAAAAAAGTGTCAGAGAACATGCTGGATGTAAGAAAACTGAGAAAGACACTGAAAGAACTGAGTAGAACCTAAAGCATCTATAATCAGACTTCCAAGGGGGAAACCAGAGAGCATTCTGGAACAAAGTGGTTATAATGACCACTCACAGAGATAGTAATATGGTTGTTTGTTTTTTTTCCTTAAGGAATCATTTTAATAATATTTGTTGCATCACTTTTAGAAAAATATCAGCAAAGTTGATAGTATTTTAGCTTCACCTGTGTTTTTTAAAGGGCAGAGTATATATATAATTTTGTTAATGTTTCTAATGCCATTTTTAACAGATCTTTTCAGGGAAATATTTACATTTTTTGCACTCAAAAGTGGTTTGTTCTTTTAAAAATCTGTTGGAGAATACCATATGATGTCTGTCTAACTTGCTTTGTCTCCAAAATTTTCCTATAACCAACTTTAGTTTTGCTCCAAAGTATAAAGTAACAAGTAGAGAGTACTATTGATACAAGAAGCTGACAAAACTGCAGTAAAGACTAGACAGAAGCCCTTTCTTTCTGAAAAGAAATTCGAAGGTGTTTATTTTGCACAAAGCACATTTCTGTGTTCATGTATGAAAGCATTTGGAGCGTGGTCAAGTCCAAGGCATTTGGTGCTTTTATAAAGCTCAGGTAGTTCTTGTGACATCTCTTCTTTCTTACTGTACCAAGCCAGAAGTCTTGGTTTTGTGTGTTTTTTCAAAGGAGGAAAAAGAAAAAGGAGCCATTTGCAGCTGCTCATCATGTTTAGCAGTGGATGTATCGAAGAGCTTCTCCCAACTGCTGTGTATTTGAAAAGTCAGTTTTAGCAGGATTTACCGTCTGAATGGATTCAGTGACAGAATTTCACTAGAATTTATTTAGTATCTTCTCTGTATGGATTTATTTTCAGTTTCTGACAAGACTGCAGCAAAGTAGCTTAAGGAAGACAACTCCTGACTAAGTGGAAAATTGTTTCTTATTCCCTACATATTCTCTTCCACCTTGTCTTACTTGCAAGGTTAAGAGACTTGCTACCAGTAATCACAGTTATCAGCTCTGCTATTAAAAAAAGAGCACATTTGCTTGAGATACATTCACATCAGAACAACTTATAATATTACCTCATAATTGTCCATTGTCCTTTGCCTTGTCACCTTGGACAAGGGCTCAACTTTGTCACCTCAGCCCCACTTCTGTTCAGAAATTAAAACAATGTCCTGAAATGCACCTTCACAATTCCTTGCTAAGCTTGATGGCTCTAGTTTACAGGCTAGAGAAATGGTATTTCAGTTGTGTTGAGTAAATGCTTTACCTTTTGTTGTTTTGCTACCTATGTATGTTTTTTATAAAAACAATTGGCATCACTCAAATAGTTCAGTGAGGGAAAAGAGTCAGAGGTACTATTTAACTTTTTCCTCTTTGCAGTTTATCACCTGAGTTTCTTAGTGGAAGAAAAATTGACAATGCAGAAGAGCTTAAAAAAACTTAATGTACTAATGCTTCTTTGTATTGAAAAAAATAGGAGGCTCCTATGAAATTTCTGAAAATTATTGTTGCAAGTCTATTGGGCAGCTTAACTTCAGTGCCTGTACTTTGATGTCACAGGTAGATTACCAACCCCAGGTAATTAAAACAGGCACCTGGAACTGTGAGTGCCTGACAGCTTTTATCAAACTAGTGAATTTGGTGGCTTGACAAAAGAGATAAGCCTGTAAGAAATATACTGATTCTACCTGAGGATTTATGTTTGCATAATTAATAGATGACCTGATAAGTGGTGGGTTTCTCTTTTAGAAAGTCATCTCTCTTTATATCAGATGTTCAAATTTGTTTCTGCTTATCATTTAGTATTTTAAAGTTTTCTACACTCCTGAATTTTTTTTTATTAGATTGAAGAATAGTTGTTAAGCGTGAAAAAATTGCACCCTGGTCTTCAGTATGTGTTTCTTTTGTTCTATCAGCTGGTTAAAAATTTTTTTGTTGGTGGCACATACTGAGATTAGAAGGTTAAAGAATTTCCGTCTAAACCATCTCTCTTAGTGCTTGAGTGTTTCAGGGTTACAACTCTGCTATAACACAAAGTAGAAAGTTTAAAAAAAAAAAAAAAGGAGAATAAAATATTCTCTGAATTTCTTGCTATATTAAATAACTTATGTGTGCTTCCTGAGACGACTTTTTTATGATCTAATCCATGGCTGGAACTGTACTTTACCTGAAGAACGGTTTGTAAATAATTCAACTTTAAATGTGAGAGGTTTCTTTTATAATTAGCCCTGTTCATGCAGCACTGGGGAGTCTGATTCAACAGTTTAGAAAAGTAATTACAGACTAAGCCAGTTCTGGCTTTCACTCCTTATTTTAACTCAGTGTTTGTGCCTGTAATTGAAGATTTTTTTTTTTTTTTAAACTGCAGAACTCTGAATTTTAGATTTACTTGCTGTAGGTGTATACATTCATTTCTTTTTAGTGATGTGAGTGTCTAGTTGGAGATGGAGAAAGATATTCAGATTAATGGAGTTTAAATGTAAATGTTATTAACAAAGATTAAAGACAACAGAATGCAAAGCAATTTCAGAGGGAATAAATGGGAAGTTGTACAGAGTTAACTTTTTAATTAATCTTGACATAGAACTGTAAATGCATAAATAATAAATACCACTTCTTTATTCCTTCCATCATACGCACACTCAATGACAAAAGTTTATTCCTCTAGAAAATAAACAGCTCTGAACATTGTTCCAAGGAGAAGGGAAAAGGGGTAGATACAGGGGGCAGGAGGGCACGTTTAGTCATTGGGTTCATACTTTTTGTTATCCTACTACCTGGAAAGCATGCTTTTGGATCAGTTATATATTTTATAAACAATCTTACATTAATTTATTTATATAATGTGTCTTAGATTTACTATTATACCTTTAAATGAAGGGTTTATATGGCTTTCTGGTGTTTTTTACCCTGTTAAGAGACACTAACATGCCTAATCTTGTTAAAATCTTTTGCCTACCAGAGCAGTAAATGCTGCCATTTCTAACTAACATTTCTTCTAACTGATTGCATACATGTGAAGAATCAAAAGCTTATTTTAAAAGAACTTCAAAATTAAGGGAACGTTGAATGAAAGAGCAAAAATTGATGCAGATAAAAAAATTCAAAGCCCTGTGCATTCATCTTATCATTCAATGTAACAGCAGCAATTTGTGAACTAATTTTAATTTTCAGTAAGGAATGCCATTCATTAAAACAGAATCCTTTTTATGAAATAAAAAAAGCTGCCTTCCTGAAAGGCATGTATTCTCACTTGATATGTATTTATGCTCACACTTCCATCTAATAATGATTACTGCTTCACAACTGAATGGGAGGGGGTTTATTTCCTTACTTGATGTACTTCAATTGTACAGAAATGATCTGGGGAGAAGTCTGCTTTGTGTGTGTGTGTGGGGAGGCTTTTATGCAGTGCAAATGTTAGATATTTAATGTGCATTAAACATCAGCCGATGATTCTCTTGTAGGAGCTGCACTGCGGAGTCTCTTAGAGCAGGCCACTGGGGAAGGAACAAATGTACTCCAAACCAGGATCTCAGCATCTGGAAATGGCTGGGAACCTTTTTCCCCTTTTCAGAGTGATTGAGCAGCAGGACATCAATTACACAGTGACATGGAGTGCTGAAAGAATGTTAATGGCATTAACACTCTTGTCATTTCTTAACACTTGGGATTTCCTCCTGGCTTGTTATGGAAAAAATAATTCACTTAAAGTGTTTTGAGATGTCATTTTTAGGAAAGCCTGTTTTTGTTTTTCAGAGAACTTGACATGTACTGGTGTCTTAATTTCTGTGTGAAAATGAACATCAATATCTGACTTTGTTCACAAATAGGGACTTCTCACAAATAACCCCAGAGGGGAGGAACTTCCATGAGCTTTTGTGTATGTCCCTACATTTGAAGTAACTGTCTTTTGCCTGAATGTATTTGAATGTTTTTAAATATAGAGGCATTTCTCAGTACTTTAAGAACTGGAAAAAGGAACTATTCAATGATTTTTCAAATTCTAGGTCATGTATAATCTTTAAAACAATTTTAAACATGTGCCTTTTCTTCAATAGTTATATGAAGTTTTATGTTCTTGCTGTCTACAAAAATGACATTTGAACACTCATTTGCAAGTGCAGCTCTTGACTAAAGGAGATATTTTGGGGAAATGGTAGTTATTTATCCAAATAAAATACCTTTCCTAAATAGTGTGTAGGGATAAAAATCTACCTTAGTGCTTCTAGATGGAGCATGGCTTTTATTGTTTATATTTTAAGTTGCAGTTACATTATACAAATCACTGGTCTTAGTGCTCAGCATTTCTTTAAAGTTAATCTCTCTGCTTACAGTTCAAAACCAACTCGAAGGAGCAGTGAGCAGAAAGTCTAAGGTGTGTACCAGGGAAAGGCTTGGTTTAGATGACTGAGTGTAGACAGGGGAAGGAAATAAAATTAAAACTTCATTAAATGCTAAGTAAAGGAATTTTTTTATTGTTTTCAACCATTAATTGTTAGTCTTTCTTGCTAATATAAAGATAACAAAACCTGCTGAATTCACATTATTGATACTGTTTGTAAATGAGGAAAAGTCAGAAACATCGAAACTTTAAAACCCTTTTCTTATTCCATTGAGGAAAAGTAGACTAATTGAAGCATCACTCAACTCTTTTGAACTTTAATTTATTCCATTCTTAAGAGAATCAACTGAGGTCATCATATGGTCTATTTTGTTACCACCCATGAAACAATGATGAACTTGTTGAAACTTGAGCATTTGCAAATAGTAATAAATTACAATGAGCATCCAGCAGTAGGAGGAGACTTCTCCTACTTGTTA